ACAACTTCCTGGGTGTCAGGTGGATGGTTTTGAGCTTCAAAGAAGAGTGGTTTCATGTGGATTGAACTCTGAAGGCAAGGTGCCTTTTCCAAACAAACATCTTTGTGACGCTTTGTCCAACAAACAACTTGAAAAAAAAAGACACTACAAGGGGGTTGATGTATCACACATTGGGCCTTGGGCCGATTCCACCGATCGCAGCTTGCCGTCTAGACCGCTCGAAAAGACCCTCCACAGACCGGCGGTGTCCAGCGCTGTCGGATGCAGTGCACTGTCGGACGTCTCTGGGATGGGTATGGATCACAAGCGCTTCTTCTGACCAATGTATAGATGTTAGTCAAATCCTCAAGTCGACTTGTGTCATGACCGAAGTAGACACCTGTTAGAGGAGTGGCGAAACTAAAAACATTCCGAGCATGGGCCTTCCTCCATTTCCAGGCGGTTTTCCTCTACTCACAGGGGCTGAACTCCCTCCATGAAACCGCAAAGCTTGCAGGAGACTGAACTGTCACGAAAAGAAAATCTGTTTACATTCTCAGAGTATGTAAGCCCTTAACAGTATGTAAGCCGACTTTAAATTAATGTAATCCGAGAATGTAAATCCGTTTGGACTGGTGGTGGGCGCGCGCGGCGCGGAGAATGGAGGAGAGAGCAGGACCAGGATCCGATGTTCCGACTCCTACAGGATCCGTAGAACTATACAAGATGGTTACCACCACCACACTGTTTTGTAAGAAACCACTTGCTTGAAATTCTACCATGATCACTACAAGGTTGTCACCGTCACGTACACAACGTTTTGTAGCAGGAACTTGCTGAAACTTGAACCACAGCACCTGTGTTGCATGGAATTGGTGACCCTGCCACTTCCCGACAGCGTTGGAACTGGTTTCGACATGGCTTGACTCCAAAGCGACAAAGCTTTACCACTTTTTCTTCAGGCAATAACATAGGGGTGCATGGGCAAACCAGCTTAGATCAACAACATAGCGGGGAAATCTGGACTGGACCAACACCTCAAGATGGCGAACATCTCACCATCAGTTGCAAGCAGCCCCCCCACACAAAACGCGCCATCGGTCTAGAAGAGCTGACCCCAGAACAGAGCTGCTGTTTCCCTGGAAAGTCAAGGTGAACCAAACTTGGAGCAATGACGCTACTAGGGGTTCCTGGCATGGCTACTAGTAACAAGAAGCATACTGCAAGGTGTTTGATGGATCACCCACCAACTGGCAGGCAATCCACATGGAATCCTGAATAGGTTCCCCCGGGGCGATCCAAGGCAAGTCGACCTTCGGCATCAGCTGAAGCAAAACGGAGGTCGGTATGTTTCGCTCCGAGAGACGCGGAAAAAGGACTGCACACCTCTCTGGCATCCTCGTGATGTCATGCATTTTTCAACCACCTGTTGGGTCTTGGGATGTCATTGGTCATCCAACCCTGGGGATCCAGTCGTACCTTCTCAGAAGGTAATTGGACCCTCCACACCTACATAACAGTGTCGAACACATCACCTTCTGAGAAGGTGTTTGGATCCCTAGGGAAAACCTCTTCTTATAACTTATGACCGACATCCACGGATGGGGCAGACCGGATCGAAATGGGGACGGGGACGGTTCTTCTTGAACCTGATCGCATCTGGTGGGTGTCATGGAACGAGATCAGTGGGTGAAGTCACCGTCCAACCCGTCCAGTTTCACTTCGAGATAAGCCTTAACCGCCTTAACCTGTTTGTCGAATCTTTAGTGGGGAAACCATGATCCTCCCTGTCTTTGGCTAAGCCAAGCAATGATCTCCCCTGTCTTCCAATCGCCGAGATGCCAGTTGTCTTTGGCCACCATGCAGGCAATGACCACCTTGGAAAAATTGCGAGATCACTCACCACTTGCGGGTTGCAGCTAACGTTGATTGAGATTCCAGGGAAAGGACAATGGGAATATATGGGAATCTGTTGCCTCTTACGTGTCAATATTTACCTAACTGATGTTGGCAAAAATGATTTGTTTTTTCTTCTAGAATGAATGAATGTATGAATGAATTAATGTTTCTCCACTAAAAGACTATAAGGTGAACGGGATTCTGGCCACCCTGAGCATGCGGGTGGGCCGGTGAACACCATCTTTCCAGCCTGCTTGCTCTGAGGGGGTTCCTGAGATCAAGCATCTGCCAATTGATCTAAATGCCTAACGTATTTGGCTGTTGTTTTCTTTCCTTTGATTTTGCTCGAAGCTGAAGCAAAGGTCTACTATCTCCAGAACATCATCCAGCAACATGGCCAAATGGGTCCAAACCCGGGCATCGTGCTTCACCCTGGGTCAAATGAACAGATTCTTCGAACTCTACGGGATGTCCACCCACCAGGGTTTGAGGCTCCGGGATGTCAACCAGCCACCATCTCGATCCCCGGCGGCCGTTTCCGTGACGAAGATGCGTCAACTCGATGTGGGCAACTGAGTTGCTTACTAACGCCGTCTACAACAAAAGCGAGAAAGAACAAACCTCTAATAAAAAAAACATCTGACACCGAAAAAGATGCCCCAAGCATGTTCGGAAGGGCTCTTCAACCGATCTCCGCAGATGGTTTCTTTCGAGGGATCTGGAGGAATACCTTTACTTGGAGGTTCCGGTGATTGGGATTGCTTGAGGGTTAAGGGTCTGGTCTAATAGTTGCTTCTGATCGTGCTGGTTAGTCCGTCCAAATCGACATCGCAGGTGGTCCAGACTTCATCCTTATTATATCCCTGACAGGTTCAGAGACCCAGTAGAACCTGGTCCTAAAAAGTTGTTTGAACATCTTTGAACTATGCTTCTGCATGATCGAATCCAGAAACATCGAGTAAACTGAGATCCTCGACCTGTAGAGTATAGTCACATAGTATATTCACTAGTATAATGCATATTAACTATTACTCTTTGCGTCAGCCAAGTCTTCCTCCAGGGTGCTGCGGACAAGAATACCGAGTAGGCCATACATCGCTTCAACGCCATCACTACACACAGTCGGAGTTGTCGCATGAAAACACCAGCCGAACCAAAGACCTCAAGTGGCACCGAATGACTTGTAGCCGGTCTTTGCAGGAAACAACGCTGTCTAGGCAAAAATGAGTGCCACTTTGCAGCTGTCTAAAGCCACATCATGCTGTAGAGCCTTGCGGTGCTTCGCTCGCTCCTACGCCGTGTTGGACGGATCGTGTGGGTCAAACCGGGTCAACCCCCTTTAATGGGACAGCCGGACTCTCTGTGAGCCGGACGGCGGCGACTAGAAAGGAACCAGGGGGGGCTTCTAGGTCGGTCGACTGGGGGCAGCCAAACAGTCCGGGGGAGAGGTAGGATTCCAAGAACGGTGGGGATTGAATTGATGGTTGAACAGTCAAACTGGAACCACTGGGACTCTCACCGACATGGTGAGAGAGCCTTCGGCTTGCAAACCAGTGGTGACCAGCGTCATGGAAGGCTCGAAGCTCGTGCTTTGGACATCGTTCCGACTGTTCCCGACGCCGCTTTGTTGTTCAAAATACCGAACGGTACGGACGGACCCCTGCCTCCTCTACAAGTAGGAAGTGATCGAATATGACTCTGGCCGGACAAATACAACCCTAAGAATCCTTGCCCGAAGCAACACATACCAGCACCCTCCTGGCCAGGCTGTTAGTTGAGGGTTGTTGGACCCTAACAGGTCGAACCATTGGTGACCTGTCGAGTCGGGTCTTGGTATGGGTGGTGTAACAATATAGGGAGACCTCCTAGTTCGACCCCCCTGGAAGAAGAGAACTAGACCAACGCAAGTCAACCTGTCGGAGGGTCCTGGTACATTGAATTATGTTTGGTTCGGGTCCGGACCCCTGCGTTTCGGTGGAGAAGGTCCGACCCCTGGCATGAAGGGCCCACAGATTCAATTAGGGAATGTCAAAAACAAACCAATCAAGAATGTCCCTCGTACATTTGCTGTAGGATCCCAGGCTTTTCAATGCAGTTCTTCAATCAAGGCTCACATTCCCCAACCCTGTGCATCACCACTTCGAAATCCTGCGCTCGTTCTGCTGACTTGATGGTGAAACAAGAACCAATGCACACATCCTGCACACTCCTGTGTGCCTTGAGTATTTCTTGACATCGAGGATTTCAGCATGGTGTGAAAAGAACACTTTATGCGGTTATCCAGGGTTATCCTTAATATGTAATGTCAACGACCTGAATTGGATCCGGTCATCCAAAAATCAAAAGCCAAGACCTCTTAATGAGGTCAAAAGGACCAGGTTTGGACCTGGGTCTTTAGACTGGGTCTTTGAATGGTCTAAAAGAACGCGCACTGCCCCACTCGCGCCACTGGGGTGCAACATCTCGGCCCGCATGGACTTGGGGACAAATACCATATACGACCACACGTAGATCGTGTCCTCTTCGAGCAGGCAACAGGTTTTGGCTGGAGTTTGTGCCAGACTCAAATGGAAAGGACTTGGTCATTGAAGGTCTGTCTTCGGTTATGGAGAGGAGGATTGTCTGAATTCAAAGAATTGGTAGGCAGATTGTGCCTTTATCACACCACTACCGAACAAGACAGCGCTGGGCGGTGTCCGTTCATGCCGACCTACGAAAAATGTTGGAAGGAGCAGGCCGATGGGAGGCTGGATTGAAACTGGTCCAACCACATAGGAACAGCAAGACACATGTATTGGAAGATTGCTTTCCCGCCAATTCTGGAACGTGGACACTCGAAGGGCTTCCTACCCTAGCACTCCTGGCCCACATCCCCAGGCACATGGTTCTTTCGTTGGGCCATACAGTGGGATTCCAGGGGGAATACTCTTTATTTCAAAGGAACGTTGAAGGACCCGCAAAAAGCAAGTGACTGGTTGGTGGTTTCAACTCACGAACAAAAACATATGAGTCAACGATTGATCTGCAAGAGGGTGTACCGCCCCATTGGGCTCTCATCAGTTCAAGGGAAATTCAAGTTTTGGGGTCCTCAAAACTGTGTGTGGAGTAGCAACAAATGCAAAGCTCGTTCATGCATCCGCAGGCCAACAGTTCTTGAAGTTGATCTTTCTCAGCATTGCAAGGACAAACAGGCCGCCATCAGCCATCCTCCGCTGTGTGCCGGGTTCAGAAGTACTCCCGGCGTGTCCTGAAGCATTTGGGTGCGCAGAATGGAGATTAGGACGAGTTTTGGAGCTGCCCTAGTGTTTGAGGGGCCAACCAACCGATACAACAACAGCCACTGCCACAAACACCATCACGAATCACGGCCACCCCACCAAGAGAAAATCAACACAAAAGCAACAAATATATTAAATATATCAAACATACAACAAAAACAACAGCAGCAACAACAACAAAAAAAACTACAAGAAACAAATACAGTAACACATAACAAGGAAAACAAGAAGAAGAAGAAGAAGAAGAAAACAAAAAAAAAAAAAAAACGACAACAACACCAACAACCGACACCATTGGATGACACCTCCTTGGACCAAACAGACTTCCGGTAGTGCCCACCTGCCAGGCTTTGGGTTTTTGCGGTTTTCTTCACGCGGCCGAAGACGGAGGGACCAAGTGTGCCGGAAGCAAGATAGGTGGCGCTATAGCTCAAAATGCACAGCCAAGGCTACCCACTGGGCTGTATGCATGGTCCTGAGGAACCTTACACTAACACGTTGTTTCCCAAGTCAGTAAGAGTCTTCCCATGAGACTGGAAAATGACCCATTACCATATTATACACTGTTCATCCTGTTTTATCCTTTTTCCTCTACAAAAATATGATGATTTCAGGCAGTGTCGATTGTGACATCTGCCGACTGTTGAGAATATGACAACATGACTGGGCATGGGAACACGTGACATGACTGTGCTGAGGGTGGTGCGCACAGAGTTAGGAAACCCTCAGTCGCAACCTCAGAGTGGGGACAACCTCGGTCTCCGTTGAAAACATCGACTCAGTTGCCTTCCTGTGCCCATTCCTTTTGGTTCCATTCCAACGGTCAACCGGACGAGGCAGCTGCCTAACTCTGCAAGAAGTAAAGGAGAAGGGCGAAGCCAGCTGCCTCAGTCGCGGAACAAGCAAACACAGCTGTCTCAGTCGTGGGAGAACCCTGTACCCACTCTGCGTGTGTTGCGAACGACATTGGGTCGGGCACCACATGCGAGATTGCAGGAAACCTGGAAAATGACATCTGCTTGCAACGTTTCATACTTTGTCACGCTGGTTGCAATTAAAAAAAGGCAATCACTTTGATGTGAGGCTGTCTTGTTTCTAGGCCCACCTTCTCAGAAGGCACTTGGAACCCTAGGAATACTAGACCAACTGGAAACTGTCCAAAAAAAGCAAGGGGCTGAACGAACAACCCACTATCGGATGTGGACGAGAACCACGTTCCATCCGTTGTCAAGACCACGTCCGTACATTCTCATTTAAAAAAGGCATCTTTCAGGAGACTTTGTGTGGGTATAGGGCTCCAACTACCTCCAAAGAAGGTAGTTGGGCGCCAGGGGGGGTCTAATGACCCTCTGACAGAGTCTGAGGATGTGGTTGGAGCCCCGGGCCTTCTGAGGGGTATGTCACTTTGACAGAAGAATATGGGCTCTCTTCCCAGAATCTGGGCCGAAACCAATCACACAGTAGGCTCGCAAGGGAAACATCGCATCGCGCAAGGCGGTAGACGCGCGTAGACGCTAGGGTACACCACCCTGTTGCAAGCGCTCTTACGATGATGCAGACTCTCGATCTGGCCTCAAGAAGCTTTTCAATCCAAATGGAGTGGTCTCATATATGAATCAAGAGTCTACATACTTAGTGTCTCTGTGGAAGACATAGGCCTGCTTGAACAGGTAACACCGGCCCTTGCCTCTTCGGCAAAGACCATTCTCCAACGACATGTCCCAGACACTTGATGGGACTGCTATAGGACTGCCATCAGGTTGTGCATTGAAATTGGGAAAAGTTTTTTATGTTAACAGTTACACTTTTTAATGCTGACTTTTGGTGTTTTTTTTATGCTAAGGGTTTTTCTTACGCTGAAGGTTTCTTGTTTTATGCTAAAGGTTTCTTTTCTTACGCTGAAGGTTTCTCCGGTCCGTCCTTTGAAAAGACCCGAGAGAGTCTGTCCGGCATGGAAATGGAGGCCTCACACAAGAAGACTTTCTTAAATCTTTCCCTCACGGCGGATGCATCCTTGCCGGTTTCCGCAATTCGGGTCCGTCCGTTCAAGAGACCGAGAGGGTCTGTCGGACATGGAAGTGGAGGCCTCACCCACGACTTGATAGGGAAAAAGGGTCTTCGGTACGTTGTGTGTTTTCGCATGTTTTTCCAACAAATTTGTTTCCCACGAATCCAAGTGTCCCACAAATTCGTGGAATGGAGAACTTGATTGAAATGATCCACTTGTGTATGATGACTGACCTAATGTACTTGTCGTATGAACATGGTGCTTCCTTTATGTGTCTATTTTTCTGGGGACAGACATGTTTTATCATGTTCAAGGGTCGCTCGCTTAGAGCCCTCCAAGTCGGCCAGCGTGCTTCCAAATTAACGATGATGTAGCGAACGGTGACGTCTTTTATAGCTACACGGCCAAAGCAGTCTATCTTTTGTATTTGCACTATATACACACGACACCACACATATATAAGTATTTTTTTTACATATCGGCACATACTGCAGGCTAGTTGCCACTTCCACTGATAACCTCACTTCAAGGTTTTAACTTTCACTGGCAACCTCACCTCATTCATTGTGCATGTTTCCGCTTACGGCCCTTCTTCCGGACTTCTGGTACAGAGTCTAAAATGGGAGGGGCGCCGCACAAAGCCTGCACGAAAAGTATGTGTTCGCACTCGCCGTGCATCATGAACACGACACGCGCAAATTTTGTGTTCAAAGAGAAGTGCCCTGAAACTGTGCCCAGACGTCTGTCGCAACCGGGCCTTCCATGACAAAAAGATGCTTCTCGAAAAAACAGCGCAAGCGCTGTAGGTCTACCTTTGCCCGAGAAGGCACAACGCCTGCCTTTAAAAACAAATACCCACCGCCAGACGAAATCATCTCACACAGCAATTTGGCATCTGCCTCACAAACATGGACAGCAATCATGTTGCCCAGATCTTTAACATCATCCACCGTTAAAGAAACAAACAGACTCAGAGCCTCATCGACGGGCGCTGACGACGTCTACGTCGCTCAAAATTTGTTTCGATTTTCTTTCGACCTGAGCCCAGCGCAGAGTTCTGACGCGACATGGTGAAGTGTTAGGTTTGGTATAGGCGCTGTCCCTGATGGTCGTACAAAAGTAGTTTCCTTCGCGACGGCTCTACCCGTAATCGACAGCTGGAGAACGCTCTTGGTTTCTCAACGTGCTGCTGTTTAGCAATCAGTCATTCATCATTCCCGGCAAAGTCGTCATTTTCATGTTCTTTCCCCAATCAAAGATTGATCGTCATGTGTCGTACAGCTCTTGCATTGCTTGAAAGACATCGGCCAGGCTCGTCTTGCTACGTGCTTGAGTTTCCTTCTGCCATGACGAATGTCGTGCCTCCAGGCCTTCGGTGCCGCTATACCAGTGCCAGGGAACGTTCCAAAGATGCCTATCCAAAAAGAAGGCAGCCACAGCTTTTTGCTTTGCAGGCGCCCAAAACCCTTGAAGAACCTCTGCGTTACATCAAGATTGCCACAAACAAATTATCTCGGGACCCCAAACAGTGTGTGTGTGAGGTTTATTAGCCAAAAAGTCTAGAGATCTAGAGGCATTGGGGTTCAGAGAGGTGATGGTGGTGATGAAGGTGCATGGGGATCGTGGTGACGGCGGCGGTGGCGGTGAGTGAGTGAGTGAGTGAGTGAGTGAGTGAGTGAGTGAGTGAGTGAGTGAGTGAGTGAGTGAGTGAGTGAGTGAGTGTGAGTGTCAATGTGAGTGTGGTGTGAATGTGAGTGAGTGATGAGTGAGTGTGAGTGTGAGCGTGTGTGATTGAGTGAGAGTGAGAGTGATCGAGAGAGTCAGAGAGTGAGCACGAAATCTGCACTTCGAGGTTCACAAAGTACTGTGCCTGCCACGAAATCTGCACCAAAAGAGGACTGAACGCAGCACCAAACAACCACTTAGGTTAACATCAGCTGAACTGGATGAGTCCAAAGAAACTGGTCTGTTTCCAATTGAGTTAGAGAGTGTAGTTCTTAACGCGCCCCTCGGTCCACTGCAAGCTCCCTTGGGGGATCACTTTCCCTCTTCATCGCTTGTGGCGTATTCTGGACTGGCTTCTGATGAAGATGAAGAGGGTGTTCCCGGCGATTTCACCGGTCGCGGCGGCAATGTCTCGCCTTCTCAAACAACGCACGCGGCTTTCAGCCTACTACTTGCAACTCACCCAAAAAATTCAATACCCTGCACCGGAGAGGTTTTGGAAGGGAAGACTTTCCAAAGAGATCTAAAATCTCGATAAGAGATTTAAAATTCAAAAAAATGCAAAAAATGTTTTAAATGAAAATCTTAGCAACAATCAACTCAAAAAATCTCAAAAAATCTCGAAAAATCTCGAAAAATCTCAAAAAACCTCGAAAAATCTCAATAAAACTCGAAAAATCTCAAAAAATCTCGAGGGGATAAAAGGAAAAATCATTTTAACAACTCAAAAAATCTCGAAAAATCTCGAAATATCTCGAAAAATCTCGAAACATGAGAAAATATGCAAAAATATGCAAAAAGATGCAAAAACATAATTTCACATGCAAACTGGAGCGTGATATGACTGCTGCAGTCAGCTGTGTTCAGCTGTTAGGATAACTTCTCCCCAAGAATCCAAGAAACACAATTTGATTAACCATGTTGTGTTTGAGGTGTTTTCCCCAAAAATAGTAACTTGTTTTAAAACAAAAAATAAAATGAAAAAGAAATGTGAAAAATGTGGACAAATGTTTTAAAATGTGAAAATATGATCAAAAATGTGGAAAATTGATAAAAACATGTGAAAAAATGCAAAAAAGTAAGAAAACATAAAATTTCATGCGACCCTGCTCTGATCTAATCCTTCTCTGATCTAGGTGATTGAATTTTTCTGGTGAGCAACAGTGCACTTCTTGCCTTGCGAGTGGTCCATTTCACTCCATGAGGTCATTAGGTGCGTGCCGAGCGATTCTCGCTTGTGGGGGTACACCTTGTCAATTGTATTCAAGAAGCCGGCGCTTGCAAGGGGAACCTGTGCGCGCAAACCTATATATATACATATACAGATCTCCACACAGTGAGTAATGCCTTCAAATGGCTCAGCTGGGCAACAATCCCAGCTTTCATTTCTTGAGCTAAATCCAGCCTTGGTTGATCTGTACACGATCAGAAGTTCGACGTATATGAAACTCACAAAGTATCTAGTAGATCATATACCATGGTCTCCCTTTGTCAAGTCCATACACATCACGACGGCGGCCAATTGCTGGCACAGCTTGTCGAATCTGACATTGTCAAGCCAAACGTACCACGAGGTTCGCGGTGGCAGTGGACGATGAACGCACCGCCCAGGCTTCGGGTGGGATTCACTTTGTGGAGAGTCCTCTGAGCCAACCTGTGACGACAAATACATTTGATAATGTTCTATATGCTTTTTTTTTAGGCCTTGGACTCTTCCTCCAAGACTTTGTACATCTTGTTTTCAGCTTCCAGCTGCGTATCAAATCTGCCGATGTACTTTCTCTTTTGCTTTCCGATGCCTCTTCACAACCACTTGGGGGGGGGAAGCGCGATCAGGCTCGAAATGTGGCCCTTACTTAGGCGCACATTCCACTTATTTGCATCTTTATCCCACGCAACAGCAGGCACCTCTGACTTGGGGCCATCAGTTTTCTTTGCTCCGCGTGGCATGACAAACAAAGTCAACCACAAGATGACGGCCGAAGGCAAATATACAATATTTCAAACCTTTCAGGAGCTCTGATGTCATGTGCATATCATCTACCATTTCAATCTTTAGGAGCTCTGATATTAAACAACATTTCTTGTCCAGCTTAATGAGATTCCGAACAGGGAGGTAGAGTGGACTTGCAAAGGTCCGCCCAACGAACTCTTTGCAATGACCTGGGAAGCGGAAGCAAATCATCTCCGTGTATACCTGCTTCTACAATTATCGATTTCTGTTCTCACCTTTCAGCCAGCAACCAAGCTAGCCTTTTAGTTAAAAAAAGACCTTCCAGTCGTCTGCGCTTGGTGGTGTAGCTTCGACCTATCTTAAAACACTCACAATCTAGAGATCCTCACAATCTAGAGACTCTCATAATTTAGAGACCATTGCAATCTAGAGACCATCACAATCTAGAGACCCTCACAATATAGAGGGTCTCATAATCTAGACCTCCTCACAATCTGGAGCGTGTGCAAGAACCCTGTTACATATAGGAGTCAAGGATGCCTGCCATCGCAGGCGCAAAGTCTCAAGGCCAGACAGCCAACAGCGGGCTGCCTGCGCGCATACGTGCAATTCACCAAGTGCTGTGCCTGCCACGAAATCCGCACTTCGAGGTTCACCAAGTGCTGTACCTGCCACGAAATCTGCACTTCGAGGTTCACCAAGTGCTGTGCCTGCCACGAAATCTGCACTTTGAGGTTCACCAAGCGCTGCGCCTGCCACGAAATCTGCATTTCGAGGTTCACAAAGTCCGGTGCATGCCACGAAATCCGCACTTCAAGGTTCACCAAGCGCTGTACCTGCCACGAAATCTGCACTTCGAGGTTCACCAAGTGCTGCGCCTGCCACGAAATCTGCACATCAAGGGTCACAGAGTGCTGTGCCATGAAATCTCTGCAAACGAGCCAATTTCGAAGTATAGTGGATCACACATAGATGGCATACGACTCACGCTGGATGAGATGGCATATCAACCACTTTTTTTACATTTTGCAGATGGCACTTGAATGAACGGGGAGGCTAGTGTGCCATCTTAAAATCCAAAAAAGACCTGAGGAAACCCCTCGATCAAAGCGCTGGCTAAAGCGATGGCCCCCAGCCTAATAGCCTCTGGCCCAATAGCGATGGCCGCCAGCCCAATAGTGATGGCCTCATACCTAAAGTGATGGCCTCCAAGTCTAGACCGTCTTCTCACATCAGCCAAAAAAGATCTTAGTAGAAAGCTTCTCTGCATATGCCATCTAAGTGTACCTCCTTCTTGTATACTGGAATCGCGCGGAATCGCAGCAATTAAATCATGAATTTGCCAATGTGCCATCTTATATAGTGCTTGTGTAGACATTGATTGTCTTGAGGTGGGTCCTATCCGTCTTAGATGGTCTTTTAATAGGTGTTGACCGTATGCCATCTATGTGTGAAACACTATAAAACAGCTCCGATCCCTTGCGCCTGTCACGAAAAGTCGACTTTGAAGCACCAAAACACGAGGTTTCCCTGGCACCTGCCAAGAAAAGTGAACACCATGTGCAAAAGTGCGCACGGCGCCGCAACGAGAGCGCAGTTGTTAGAAGCACCCGCCGCGGGCGCCCAGACTTTGCGAGCCTGCGCAGTTGAAATGCACTTCGAGGATTTCGAGAGGCATGAATGTACTGTAAATAGCAGCGAATTAGCCGGTCACGCCCGCGCGCTTCAGCGATCTAAGCATCAGCTGCTTTTCCCCTACCGTAAGAACCCCTAGTGTGTCCACACTGCTTGGGGAAAAAGAAGAAACCACCCACCAAGAATCCACAAAAAAAAACATAAGCAGCCTTGGCAAGCACACACAATGACATTGTGACTAAAACCACCCAACGATTACATTCTCTACTAAAACCTCCCGACAATTACTGTATTGAAGCCTTGACATTCTGTAGTAAAAACTCCAGACAACTACATGGGTGTGTATTTTTTTACCGTAGTCGGGCCGGGAAGTTTGAATAGGTGGTATGATTCGCGGGTATGATTCGCAGCTTTGAAGTTGTATTGTTGGATTAGCTGGACTTCCAGCAGTGGGCTCACTCTGCGCCGAGGCAGTAGGCAAGCAGCATCTGTTGGATGCTGGGGGCAAATGCACTCTTCCACCAAAGACTCCAGTGGTGATGGGTGGGGGACTGTGTGGAGGTGAGTGATTCGGGTATGAATCGGGCATGAATCGGATGTGATTCGTATGGCCATTATCATTAGATTCTGCAAAAGAAGGCGGTCCTTTGGCTCTTCTTCCCAAGGGAGAGCACATGGGAACATTATGAGTACACCTAAGATGTGAGCCTTTGCTCTTCCCACAAGAAGACACACACAATTTTGGCCAAATTGAGTGCCCATGGATCACACAATTGCAAACGTCATGCACCATTGGCTCCTGGACATCTACAAGGCACAAAGACCAACCAAAAACTTCACCTTAACGCCTGGTTCTTACGTGTAACGTTTTGAGGGGTATGATTCGGGAGTATGATTCGGGGGTAGGATTCGAGGTATGATTCGAGGGTATGAATCGCTCAAGTCGAACTTCCAACCACTACATCAGGAAGTACACGCCAAAAAAATACAAACCCACATTCTGTACTTCACAATTACATTCTGTACTAAAACCTCCCAACCATTACATTCTGTATTTCAATTACGCTCTGCTCTAAAACCGCACGACAATTACACTCTGCACCATAACCTCCCCACAATTACCTTCTGTAGTAAAACCTCCCCACAATTACATTCTGTAATAAACTCTCCCGACAATTACAATCTGCATTGACCTCCCGACTATTGCGCTTTGTATTAAAACCTCCCGACAATTACATTCTGTACAAAAACCTCCTGACAATTACATTCTGTATGAAACCTTCCCGACAATTACAATCTGCATTAAAACCTCCCGACTATTCGCTTTGTACCAAAACTTCCTGACAATTACATTCTGTACTATAACCTCCTGACAATTACATTCTATACTAAAACCCTCCGACCATTAGGTTCTGCACTCAAACCTCCGACAATTGCATCACAACCTCCCGACCATTAGGTTTTGTACGAAAACCCTCCCAACAAATACAGTCTATTTCTCTCTCCCCACAGTACCGCATTTTAAAGAGAACCCTTTGCATTAAAAAATAACACCATTAGCACAAAAAAAAGAACCCGTCTGAATTAAACAAGAACTGCATGCATAAGAAAAGACACCGCAAGCATAGAAAAAGGCACTGTAAGCATAAAAAAGAAACCCTTACCCCCAAACCACACCAAAAAAAAAACCTCTGGGCATTAAAACAACACCCAACCCATTGACATTGGGAGACCTCCCAAACGTGGCGCGGCGTTCCGACTCCCAAGTTCAGAAGGGATAGACCAGCAGTCCAGCAGTCACAAATGCGTGCTATCCCCTGGGGATCCAAGTACCTTCACAGAAGGTAATTGGACCCTCCACACCTACATAACAGTGTCTCCAATCACCTTCTGAGAAGGTGTTTGGATCCCTAGGGATCCATGGAGGAAGTCGGGGTGCCGCTGTCACATCCACAGCCCCTGGGATGGGACGAACCAAACCACCCCACTCCTTGTGACTCCTGGTATAGTGTTCTTGTATGACTGGTATAGTGTTCACTCCTGGTATAGTGTTCTGTCTTAGTGACTCCTGGTATCCATTTTGCCACTTCGGGGGTCCCTCCTATGAACATTCACACCCGTCGATGCTCTGGGCGCCGTCCCCGCCCCCGTCTCAACAGCTCAGGAGCACCGTCTCCTGAGCTCCCGGGCTCCCACCGCAATCGTCGGCACCTCGGCGACACAACGACCCCCCCAAACTTGGGGCCTGGGATACCTCCATTTCGGACCTGAGGATGCGGGACAGGAGCCCTAGGGAAGTGAGGTTCAGTGACCATGGGAAGCTCCAAGAGAGGCCTCAGATGAGCTGATGGGATCTGATATATAGGATCCGTAACCTGGGGGTACCCAACTGGGATAGTCTATAGGGTTCTTCAATCTCTGTTGGTAGACTTGCTAGGGGGAACGAATCAGCTTTTTTGCAAAGACTTCGTGAAGGGGATGGGAGAGAAACTAAAGTCACTGAGTGGAAAATCAATGACAGGGCCATCAAGGGCCTATATTTGTGCATAAGTACGTGTGAAAAAAACAACCAATATAAACTGATCTTGCTTAATCAAGTTCCACACGGTGTGCCTGAATGGTCCATCTCATGCTGAACTTACCTTGTTTTCAGGGTGAATTTGCCCCCAGATATGCCAGAACCTATGTTCGGGAGCCCAGCGTTTCAATCTAAACCGATTTCGTCGCTACACAGCTTTGGCCTGACTAACGCTTCAGTATACTGTTCGAAAACATGATAACCTTAGCGGAATGTAGGCCAAATACAACGAACATTCTCAGGATTTGTGGTGTCTTTTTATCTGGACCAGTACTTTTACAGGCGCCAGCTGGAAAAGCTATCCATGTTTGCATGAGACTCAGGATCAGAAACACATCCAATCCTGACAGAACTCAACCTGCTGGTATCACCGTATCGTTCTTAACACATGTGTCCGCATGTTACAACCAACCCAGCTTGTAGACAATGATTTTGAGCAAAAAGAGAACACTTCCCTTCAAGGTCTCCGGCTCGGCCCTGGCCCCCACTCCCGCTCGGCCCGAGCCACCGCCAGCAGCCGCGCCCGGGAGATGCTGGGCCGCGCAGTCAAGGGCTCCGAGGAGACCATGGGCGCGCGGGCGTCATCTGCGCGAGGCCGGCGGGGCGGCGAGATGAGCCGAAGTTGGGTCGGACGATAGAGCCATTCCAGAAAGGTATTATATAATTATTAATTAAATTTTATCTCACTTTTGGCAGATGAAGTTTGGGAGGCTCCATTTTTGGGAGACTCCATTTGGTGGATGAGCCTTTGAAGGAAGAGCCACCCCCCCAACACCAAATCCGTTTCTGGATGAGACTTGGACGATCCACATGCAAGAACCGTCCCAAACCTATAGATCTGCCTTTAGGAGACTCGATCTGCAATTTCTTTGGGGGGATGCTCTTTCCATGCCTTTTCAAAGCTTCCGATGTCTCCCTTTCCATAGCTGGCGGGGGCGTGACTGGCACGGGTCGAAGGTTTCCTTGAAAAAACAAAAGGGGGGCGAAATGGCCCGAACATGCCAAATGACTGTGAAACGACTGCTTGCTTTAGGTCCTTTAGGTGTTGTTTTCCTTCCCACATGGTGCCTGAAAAACCCAGGACCTTTGCCACACAAGGGATCGCTCAGTTCTGGGGCTCCCGATGGAAGTTGGTCCAAATTTGCCTTCAGAGTCTCTGGACTAGGCTTCGTTGTGTCAATTCTGTACTAGTTATATAGGGACCTTCGACTTGTGATTCGAGTTTGGTTCGATTAAGGGTCGCCACCCAGTGGTTAAGAGACCAGGCGTGAGCATTTCCACACAACGGAACGGCTTGACATGTCACAGAAAGATACTGATGCCACATGTCGGTGTTGTGCATGGAATGCACCAAACAATCATCAGCATCATATCAAACCCAAAAAAAGCAGGGCTCGCTTCCCTCCACTTGCACAGTGTGCAATTCTGCTAATCCATGCTAATCCGGATGAAACATACCCAATGTGTTCCTAACCGTGTCTGCTCAAGCACTTGACTCCCCTTGGAACGGGCTCAGTCCGTTCAGCGTGCCAAGGAACGGGTGTTCCACCCTGTCACCCTGTGACTTTCTGGACCTTCTCCGCTGGACGGAGCTGAGAACTAGCACATCAGAAGCACGAAAAAAGATCGGAAAATACATGGGGTGCATTAATGTGTATCTTAATAGAGAGACCTCCAGGGGGTTTGGTCTGTGTTCCTCGGTGTTCCTTCTTCCAGGGGGTCGAACTAGGAGGTCTCCGTTTTTTAATGAACAACATGTGTATAGTATATAGTACTTTATGTGCTAGCTCTACTCATGTTCTTCCACCAAGCTGGAAGAAGTCTTCCGTCACGACCCAGATCGACCTCGCGAGCAACGAACATGACACGGAAGTCATTGGACCTTCCCGCTGGAGCATGGCCCATGCCCAGGTGAGATCGGCCGCCGCCTCGCCGGCCGAAGAGCGTGGACCGTCCGGCCAGACCGTGACGGGAAAACGGTTTGGAAGTCCGCTGGAAGACGAGATTGACGGACGTGGGAGGAGGTCATTTTGCTGAGCAGCTTCTACTGGGTCAGACTGGACTTGTAGAAGTCTGCTGACTACTTTGTTGCGTTCGGGAAGCAGGTGCATCATGGAGACAAGAACACCGCTACTTGAACTAATCACATTATATACACTGTTTCATTTGAAGATCTGGTTTAGTTTCTGGGGCTCTCACCTTTGCTTTAGTTGGTGATATGATCGAAAACTGCTGTTTGGAAAAGAATGAGGCCTTTGGCCGTCCCACTTCACCTCATAGTTATTGTTTCTTTTCTCGGTAGTACAAATCCCAAACAAAAAGACATGAAAGGACTCACAAAATCCCAAGACACCAGCTATGACATATTTCTGTGAGGACACCAACCACCAAATACTCGCTCAGAACTCTCAGCAAAATCCGCGGAGACTTGGAGACCACTTCAGCAGCACCAAGCCCACCGCATCGGGTAATGGGCCCCCCACCAGCACTGAACAGTGGAAACCCATGAGATGGATCAAACCGCCAGTGAAATCTATTCATAGATCTTACTACACACATCCATCTTGCATTGGAAAATATCACAATATGTCAATGAAGGAACTCAAGTCTCCAAACTTTGTGGTCCATACCTGGAACTTCCTCAGAGCGCTCTTTTTCGATCTGCGGCGTGAATAACATCTTTTGGAGTTTATATTTGAGCCACTATTTGAGCCTGCGGATGTTTCTCTAGTTTTTTGATTGTTTCTGATATTCCACGGGCGTTTATATGCAAGAGAAGAAGGGCGTTTATTGGTGAACCACAGGCGTTTTCTTCCCGAACGTGTTTTGTAAGTGGATGTGTATTTCGGTTGCGGATGTTTATGCGCAGACCTAAAAAAACTATGTTGCACTACCGACAAAACAACCACGAGGTCGTAGGTTTGTCCCAACGGGTTTTCGGCAGATCCTTCAGGGTTGAATCAGTTCACCCCTCCAAACTCGGACCACTTGGGGGCACCCTGCACACTCCACCCGCCCGGCCCGCCCGAAAACGCCGTCGACTCGGGCGGGAAACGCCTGTGGCGATTCGATGAGCCGCTCCATGTAGTTCGTGCGCATGGGCGCGCGATAGCCCTCCGCCTCGCCGTCCTGCCGCGCGGAGAAAGAACGAACCATGTGAAGATTGGACGGAGCGGTTTTTCTTTATCCATGCGGAAGAAGAAGTGGGGGATTTGGTTCCACGGACAGAAGCGCGGTTTGTTTCAGAGTTGGACAAAAGGAGAGGTGAAAGACGTCCCAACAAAGTTGGTTCACCACGGGCTGGTGGTGTGGTGGGTTTTCGATGTGATTTTTTGAATTTTTGGCATTGAATATGGTACGTTGTGGGGTATCCTTGCTTTGGAGTGCTTTGGTTTGTTTGTCTTGAGTTCAATTGTATGAGGTGTATACAATGTGTCACGCGGTCTCCGTTACCTTGCAGACCATTGCAATATGACCTTGAAGCAAACTTGAACATTGGAAAATTTTCGTGCCAAGACGCCAGATTGCTTGTAAAGAATTACACCGGCATAGTTTGGGCTTTGCCCCGGTACAGTAACAGTAACCACAAATCATACTACAAACAAAAAACAATTTAGCCATAGTGTGCGTTAGGATGACTTTCATTTGCCTTCTTAACGCTGGCTACAGTGAGCACATCCACTCGCAAAATGATCGAAAGTTTCGATCCACTCAAAATGGTCTGGGAAATATGCCAAAACATCATACGGCAGGCCTGGTAGAAGGGTCTGGCTCTAGAGGGAGACCTGGCTGGCCGCCAGAACTGTGGGCGGCCCAGGGGGTTCCAGGCCCAGGGGGCGGTGCCTGCCTTTTTAAAAAAAAACTGGAGGCCCGCTCTTTTTAAAAAGGAAAATGAAAAGGAACACAACCAACAAAAAAACAACAAAAAACACCCATAAAACTGACCACAACTTTGTGTTTTTTGTGGTCTGATTTGTGGTTACGTTTGTGGGTTTTTGGTGGTATGACTAGTGTTTTTTGTGGATATTCTTTTGGGTATGATTTGTGGTCGCATTTGTGTTTTTTGTGGACTGACTAGTGCTTCTTTTTTTGTTGCATTTTTTGTGATATGATTTGTGGTCGTGTTGTGTTTTTTGTGGTATGACTTGTGTTTTTTTGTGGTACGATTTGTGGTCGCATTTGTGGATTTTTTGTGGTCTGACTTGTGTTTTGTGCGATATGATTTGTGGTCACGTTTGTGTTTTTGGCGGTATGACTTGTGTATTTTGGTGGTATGATTTGTGTGTTTTTGTGGTATGACTTGTATTTGTTTTGTTTTTTTGTGGTATGATGTGCGGTCGCGTTTGTGGTTTTTGTGTGGTCTGATTTGTGCTTTTTGATTTGATTTGTGGTCGCGTTTGTGGTTTTTGTGGTATGACTTGTGTTTTTGTGGTGTGATTTGTGGTCGCATTTGTGGATTGTTTTTGTGGTATGACTTGTTGTATTTGCTGTGGTATTCTTTGTGGTATGATTTGTGGTCGTGTTTGTGTTTTTTGGGGTATGACTTGTTGTCTTTTTTGTGGTCGCGTTTGTGGCTTTTTGTGGTGTGACTTGTAATGTTGTTTGTGGCATTTTTTGTGGTATGATTTGTGGTCGTGTTTGTGGTTTCTGTGGTATGACTTGTGTTTTGTGGTTGAAATTTTTGTGGTATGATTTGTGGTCGCATTTGTTGTGGTATGACTTGTGGTTTTTTGTGGTATGATTTGTGGTCCAGGGTGGAAGACAACAACCACAAATCAAGCCACAAAAAAGTGGGGAGCCGGGACCAAACTTTGCAAAAGGCTGTGCAATCCTGGTTGTCGTCTATCTGCTGTTGGGCCAACCTGGCAAATTGGATGCCATTGGCCCCCGCGCCAACCCAACTCTGACATTCATCCGGGTCTACCAATTCTCTCACCCATGGGAAGCTGTCCAAATGGTCCGGAGCCTGAGGCGATCCCGCAAGAACTACAGAAATGTTCTTGAATACGAACTGACCAATGTCTTCGACAAAGATACTGCGCCAAGAGGGAAAATGGAAGGCACTTGGTCGGAGATCTTGGAAAACAAAGCGCAAGCGCCGTTGAATTCCTGCTTGAAAGAAGCGCCGGACTTGGATTGGCACTCAGATGCGCATTGGGCCATCGTCATTGACAGGTATGCTATGGCAGGTCTCGACACAAAGCACGGCTATCCTTCGCCCGCGCCACCTTTTTGCGTGGCGCGGGCGGCGTGTCTTCTCCAGTTTTTCCTCGCATGCCAGTATCTCTTTCACAAGCGAATGCTGATGACAAACAGAGCACGCCGTAGACTCTATTTGCAAATTCTTGGTTTTGTGACCAAGCCTTGAGCTTTTTGTTCTCAGCTTGCAGCTGCCTGAAAAGAAAAATAAGAAACACAAATTCTTCTGTCCAATTCAAGATTATTTAGTTCTCCAGATAGCTGCAGGCTATAGGGGTTTTAACTTCTCAATGGTGTGGCTCTGTATCGGCATTTTCGTTTTGTGGGCGCTGTGGCGCTGGTGCAAGTGCTTTCGTTTTGCAGGCGCTGCTGCCGTGCTGATGCTGGCGCAGGCGCTGGCGCGGAATCGGCTGCTGGGGCAGGTGCTGGCTCTGGGTCGGCGTTTTCGTTTTGCGGGAGTCGCTGCCGTGCTGTTGCTAGTGCGGGAGCTGGCTCTGGATCGGCATTTTCGTTTTGCAAGGCGCTGCTGGCATGGCAGGGGCAACGTCACGTCATGCAAGGGGGTGAAATCACGTCATGCCAGGGATGACCATGGCATGACAGGAAAGACATCACGTCACGCCAGGGGAGAAATCATGTCACAGCATGGCAGGGAGATCACGTCGTGTGAGGGCTGACATCTTGTCATGCCAGGGATGGCCTCATGCCATGCCAGGGATGACATCATGTCATGCTAGGGATGACATCATGTCGGGCGAGGCATGGCCCCACGCCATGCCTACGCAGCTGCAGTCACCACAGCACATCAAATCGACCCGAACGGTACCCGGTACCCGGTAGTCCATAATCGATAACCGATTGATAAACATGTTTTTCAAAACTGCTCCCAGAGTAATCGCAATCTCCCTGTCCCTCCTTTCTTTGCTCTTTCCTTTGGCTGTGAGAGCATGAACAAAAGATTCATCTTGTGGTAAGAAGGGTCAATCATTCTTCGAATTGCCACTTGAGGTTGACCATTTAGTGAAAGGATGATGTTGGTTGTGTTTGGTTTGCAAAAATGTTCAGATTTGTGTTCTTGAGAGTTAACCCGCCCACTGATCCAATCATTTTGCATTTCCTAGACCAGAGCCCGCTCACTGATCCAATCATTTGCATTTCCTAGACCAGAAATTACAGTCCAATTTCCCTAAATGACTTTGAATATGATTGTGGTTTTTGGTGGTAGTTATGGTTTAAGGGCCCTGACCCTTTACGACTTTTACTGTCGGGGGCAGGGCCCAAGGCATAGTCGTAGAACCCAGTAGAACCCAGATAGCCGGTGTATAGGTTTGTCATCCCTGGCATGACGTGATGTCATCCGTGGGCATGACATGATGTCATCCCTGCACCAGCGCCAGGACCAGCACGGCAAAAGCACCCTTAAACGACGATCCGAAGCCACGCATTGAGAAGTAAGAACACCTTATAGCATCTTATAGCTTGCAGCTATATCTGGGCCAAAAAGCCGATCCAAAGCCAGCACCTGCAACTGCACCAGCACGTGCTGCAAAACCAAAACGCCAATCCACAGCCAGCACCTGCACCTGCGCCAGCATCAGCGCGGCAGCAGCACCTGCAAAACCGCCGATCCAGAGCCAGCACCTGCACCTGCACCAGCACGGCAGCAGCACCTGCAAAACCAAAACGCCGATCTAGAGCCACACCACAGAAGTTAGAGCCCCTATAGCCTGCAGCTATCTGGTGCACAATGTCAAACAATACATAAAGATCAGATCTGCTAATCTTGCTAATCTTGAAGGAGCATCAAGTACGGAATAGCTGCAGGCTCTAGGAATTCAATTGCGCAACCGCAGCAAAAGCAAGGAATTCATCACCTGCACAAAAACTGACAACTAAGTAGGTCAGTTCATCAGCCCTGTGGACTGGCTCTCGAGATTTTCCTACAGCAGCTGGGCCATGCCATGCAAACGAGGTATCTTTTGCGGCGTTGGCTTCCCCATCGACTGTCAACTTGGACGGCATCGATTTTGGCATCCGGAGTTTGCTTCTTGCGAGGGCAATACAACGTCTTCCAACCGCCAGGGCCAGTCGACCCGCTGCCCTTTTGCCACTGGGCATGGCGGGATCTTTGGGGGGCTTCCTGAGTGATGTTAATCTCAGAAATAGCATAATTGTGGCTCCCCTGCACACTCCTGGCTGATAAGGTGCCTTTACCATTAGGGGAAGATGTTGGGAAAGTGGGAACGGCATCTTTTATTGGTTCCAAAAGCAGCATCAAGAATCAAGAATATATCCGTTGCTTTGGTGACCATCCGCGCACCTCCCGCAAGAGTCTCCATTACTACACTACCAAGCCTCAGTTTACTTTAACCTCAACATCTGAGCACTGGCCGTGCCCCATGTGCTCAAAGTCCCCCTCCCCGGCAAAACCTCCAGCTGTTGGTAGTAGGCGGCCAGCTCAGCATCATCCTGAGACTACAGGAAACCGTCCCAAGCATCACAGCCAAAATAGAAAAAGCATATGGTTGTACTAGTTGGGTTGATCTTGAACACCTGATCTTTGATGAAGGTGCTTGTAAAACTTGGCCACCATGTTTCACCGCGATCCGGGAAGAAATGGTGCATGCAGAAAATTAATCAAATGAACCTGATTATGATGTTCCAGCCCGTACAAACCTCTCCCTCTTCTGTCATCTCATATCATCTCCTTTGGATGCTTGATTGTCTACAAAACCTCCAAAGCACCACTGAATTTCCGTGAACCCAACGAACGTACAATCATTGCTTTAAACGACGTAAAAACATCTTGAGCGGTATCTTGTCTAAGATGATCTACCAATTTACCCAAACTATACCCTTCCGTTGCCCTGGGAACCATGGGCATGTTGCAAGAGATTGAATCAAACATCGAACCTGACAGCGAACATGAGATGAGAAGACAGAAGGCAGAAAGACAAAAAGGAGTTCCTCCAAAATGGGACTCTTCAGAGTCATCGGAACATGCCGTCTTTCCTTTTTCTCCAACCAAAAAATTAACACCACAAATTGCTGTTGATGAATATATGTCATTTAATATAGACTAATACTAATACTACCGTAAAACATCAGCAATTTCGAGAGGCGTCGGTGCTCAGAACATGTCAGCCGAGCTCATTCTTGGGCTTGGGAAACAGGGTCAAGCCACCACAAGTGGATCCAATCCCTCACCACAGAACTGACCCAACATGTGTTTTGCTTCAACCATTTTCGGGAATGTTGATGAACAAGAAACAAGACCCAGTTCGACATAGCCACCACACAACTTACTCTTCTTCGAAGTAGAAGAACACACACCAGTGAAAAAGAAAGACTTATAAAACGAAAGGTGGGTAGGGTAGGCCTACCCGATACCATAGGTGGCCGCCCGTACTGTAACGGCCCTACCCTAGGTGGACGGCCCTACCCAACATGTGGGAGTCTACCCCTTCGGTGTATGTGGAGTGAACGGAGCAGAGTCTTTGTCGGGAATTCCCGCCCCAGCAGCTAAGCCGAATGTAGACTCTTGATTTAAGAAAAACACCCATGGAATTGAAACACCTCATCGTATGATGGGGTATGTATTTTTCAAGAACACGTACTAACTCCCATTTTCATCCAAAGGTGTTAACCAGATTTATGAATCAAGAGTCAACGAACATTATGTATCTTCCATCCAGTCGAACCAGCCGAACTGGGTGGTGCTGACTCTACTTCCGACCCGTCGGTGTGCTCCGCGGTGCGTCCAAGGTACGGTGGGCACCGTGGGCACCGTCGTCTCACCTCGCAGGGTGCGTCTGTCCGAGTGTCTGGGTTCGGTACCCGGTCCAGTTCCACCAGTTGGGGGGTGGGCGGAGAAGCTGCGGAGATGGAGATCTCGAATTCCGTCCGCAGTAGAAGTTGGCGCCCCCCCCTGCAAACCACGGGAGGTGGACATCCCTATTTGGAGGAAGCTGTTCATTTCTCACAGGTCAAGGAAAGGGTTGACCCACACGTACTAGGGGAAACACTCCTTTCTTTCTGGGTAGTCCCAGGCTCTCCAGTTGGGCTCTGAATTTCAGACAATTGTAGTTCAGAGGGACGGAGTTGATCATGAGAACAATGCATGTGACTCCATTCCTCTTCATGTTCCATGCAGTTTCCCACCTTCCTCGTCTCCATGAAGCACCACCAAGATCTGGTTTTCAACAAGATCTTCAGCGAGCGAGTCACGGCGGGATTTCCCCCTCACACCACTGGGACACCGCTGACACCACTTCTGTTCCCACACCATGGCGGGTTCGGCGCTCCGGTCGCCCACAAAGACGGACGCCGGTCCCCACGCCGGTCCCCACGGTCCTGCGAGCATCGGACCTGAACCTGGGACCCCACAAAGCTGCCTTCGTTATACCAAGTTGGGCCCCCGGGGCCATGGGGGTGTCTAATCATAGCTCCTGCTTAGAGGTATCCAGGGTGTCCATATGGACATCCCTGGTACTGCATGGTTCCGAGGAACGTCAGTCGACTCGTTCGGTAGGTCGATATTGAGATGTCGACACTTATAGTGGATGCTGGAGGCCAGTTGTGCCAACCATGGGCGAATGCGTATTGCAGGACCACCCCCCCCAACAAAAAAAACAGAGTTAAAAAAACAGCATATAGTAAGTTGACAGCACTTAGAATATAAAGCAATTCAGTAAACAACTTACTATACACAAACTTGATTTGTTCTCTCCCCTTGCGAAGTGAGAAACTTCCGCTCGTCGCGCTCTTTGCAAGTGAGCTTTTGCTTCACAGGAGGTGGTGTTACATAAACTTCCACCACCCCCCAAACATATTCAGGCTCAAAAGAAAGTACACGACACCTGCGCCCCCCCGTAGAAAAAGTACATATATATAACTATAACACAATAAGAAGCAAAAACACGTCTTCACTACAAAAAAAATCAGTGACAACAATACTCCCCCCACATGTCCCCTAGCAAAAGAATGGTCGTTTTTCCTCCCACCTGCGGGTCCCATGGACTCCCTCCAACCTCCTCCGCCATACTCTTGGCGCGAGGGCACACTGCCTGAGGCAAACAGAATATCAACTCTCCCTGCAGGAGCTGGACCTCAAGTGGCGAACGGATGTGTCTTAAGAAGGAGTAAGACACATCAAGAATAAGACTGGCTATAAAGCCACAGCTCAAATAGACATAGTATGCTTGTCTTTCAACTCTATTTGCCAGTGGGTTTTAGGGCACATGCTATTTTTCAGCCAACCCTGGATGGTGAGAATCGCCGTGGTCACCGAAATCGCAGGCTTTGCACCAACACCCGTCGGGTTTCGCGATGTCGAGCTATAGCTGAAATCACTCCATCAATGTGATATCCATTTGTCTCAATGGCTTCACACATGTCCCTTTCTTAGCTTGAAAACAAGAGCATCACAAAACCTTCCCATGAGAATTCCTCTGTCTAGTAATTCTTTCGCGGCCAAGTTGAACAAGAAAGGAAACACAGTAGCGATGACATACTAAATATGATTCTATACCATCACAATGACCAGTAGTCGTAGTTAACAAGATCAGCTGGACACCGAGGCTCCATCTAAGTTAACTACTACATCCTCAGAAGGCAGTTAGACAACCCCAACCAACCACTGAAAACAAAAAATACTCAGGAGGACCTTCTGGCGCCTTATAGGACCTTCTGAACGCCTCCTCCTGGTCTGTGGAACCGCCATCAAGAAATGGCGGAACACCTCCTGATCTGAACACCTCCTTCTGTGGCAACCTTCTAGGAAAACGAAGACAAAGAAACAAAGCCTCTCCAGTCACATCACGCCTCCAGGGTTGAGCTGGGCAGCCAGTTGCCGAGAATACTCCTGATGGCCAGTTACCGACATTCAAACGTCGGTGAAGATGTTCAAACGTCGGAAACCACGGACGGTGTGACGACAGGTGTAGCTTCAAACAAAAAACCATTTCACGGGACTTTGCCTGGTTTAGTGAATCCACTTGAAACATGTCGAACTGTAGAAACATGACATAGGAATCGTTTCGATTGGTTTTGGGGTTTCCCCACAGCTGACAGCAGATTTTAGATCAGCCGATGTAACCCTTGCACGGCATGTGTGCAGGAAGAAAAGTTGGCACAGGAAATACTCCGACCGATAGCTCAAGGACTTTTGCGAATTAGGGAAAGGGCCAAGGCCATGTCTTTTTTCTACGCTTCCATGGTCCATGCTGCCTTTTAGTTTATAAGCAACATCTGTTCATCCAATTTGAGCCAGGTCACTGGAGTCTCCATGGATGTGGTTCTCCGGCCTCCTTGAATCCCTTTGAAATCCCTTTCTCACTCAATGGAGTTGGGTGAAAAGAACAACAGAAACCTGCCGCTTTGCGTATACAGTTTACTGCCCCCAAGGCAAGGGTGACAGCAAAGAACTACTAACCGCCATCAATTGTTTCAGGGTTGTTACCCTCAAAACGGTTGTTGTACTAAGTTACGATACTATAGTAAGAATTTGAACAGATGTGTACACTCCAAAACCAGTCGTGACCTTTGTTCAACAAATGCTCGTGGTGTTGGCCAAGTTCGTCGTGGCCGCTTGGCTTCACAGCCCGAGCCTGGCCTCGTCTGCCTCCAATTGCCGGAGCCTGGCCTGGAAGCGCAGCAAGCACACAAGACAGATCTGCACACGTCCTACCATATGAGGACGCACCTTCGGTTTGCCCTGTGGTTTTCGGAGACCCCAGAAATATCACCTAAACCTCCATGATAAGAGGTTAAATAGTACATCAAAACGCCCTCTTGGAAGGTCCTGGTATGACATCGGATGGACATTTTTCACGACCTTCCATGAAATGCCCAGTGTTTGGGTCTGCAACATGTGTGGGCCAATCCGGGCCAAACCAAGGGAAATCTGCAGAAAGTTCATGCAGCGACTGTTTTGAGCCATAGAGATGCTACAACTGACGAGTAAGGTGAATCAGCTCCAGGTGACCCCAGTTACATCCGTCCTCACTGAAGACAAGCCCCGGGCCCCCTAATCTTCAAAGCACTGATGACAGGGGCGCTTCTCTGGTCGTATGACATCGCCTCCTCTTCTTCCTTGGCATACTCCTCTGCCAGCTGCGCATCTCGCTGCTCCTCCCAGTGGACCACCGTTCCAGCTCCAAGGGAACGTCATCAATTTGGAGTTCTCCAGTTTGACCGCACCAATAGAATCCAGTCTAGAGCTTTTCTACGGTCAACTGGCAACATCTCCATACTTCTTACGACCCTCATTGTCGTCCAGTCTCTTAGAGGCGCTTACTTTGTTTGCAGTAGCTTGGAGTCACTGCGGCCGCATCAAGTGGGAATAGTCTTTCAAAAGCCCTTGGCTCCCAACGCTTTGCTCCCTTCGCGTGCAAACAGTCTTGGCATCCCGAAGCCTAGGTTTTTGACTCACTTGTTTGAGCGTGCAAAGGCGATCTGTGCCAGATCCTAGCGTCAAATCACCCATGATATGGAAGAGATCTTGGACATACTATTGTTAAAAAAGTAATCACCTGGAATCTTGACCATGGTTTCTGAAAAGCACACAACCTTTGATTAATTGTTCAAATTGGTGCTTTGGTTGATTCCCTGATGGCAAGGGATGGGACTTTTTCTGTGTGAGTCCAATCCAAGCCTCGTAGTGTCTGAGGGAAAGACCTTCGACATGTGGCAAGGAGCTATGTCATTCACCCGGAACTCACAGAGTGACAAGTGTCAAACAGAGTGGATGAACCCGCAGTCGATGAAGCAAAGCTATCACTTTAAAAGTACCAAGTACGGAAGTACTGTACTAACCAACAGATTTGGTCGGAAACTACCTGGATCCTGGGATATTGTTTTGGCACCCTCATGGTTTGATGTTTTAGTAATTAGGTCAAAGAAATAACAAGAGATACTGTAACAAGAGGGGTTTTGGACCAAGTTTATAACTGGATGATCCTGTCTCATCATGCCCCATCCTCCCTGGACAGCATCCCTCTGAGTCACATTCCATCGACATGTCACTTCCCCCCACGTCCTGCTCACGTTTCCGTTCCTCCTCAGCTGCTTGTTGCTCACGCTCCTGAAACCTGAGTGCTCTGTCAATTACCAACAGTGGAGCATAGCATGTTGGAAGACTACTTTCCTCTACCAACAGTGGGTGCCATCCACTTCATTCCACGTAACCATGTGATGTGTTCGTCGGAGTGTACAGAAGACCTACCACCTCACAAGCAAAAGGTTCATATGGATCCTTTGGGATCCCATCGCGTCATGCATCTTCTCTGCTCATCCACCGAAGCCACAAGAAGCGCATAGAAGCGCACACATACGCGTTGATGAGAAGAATCCATAGACCCTGATCGGTGTGTGGTGGAATAGGACCCCACCTACCGAATAGGTACTTCAAGTCCATGAGGTCTCTCTACCCTTCCGAGGGAGGTCTCTCTACCCTTCCCAAACACACACCCACGCACCGAACAATTCTGTCCAAGCTCCTATAGCCCTGTTCACCTCATTCTGACTCCCACCACCTCTCCATCACCATGTCCCACCCCTGTCGCCCTGTCATCCCCTCACCCCATCCATTCCAGTCCTTACCACTGTCATGTCTCCCGGCCTATATATATATATAAGGATTCAAATTCTCAGAATTTGTAAGGATCCCTATAAGGATCCAGTAGATCCGTCTACAACCCTAACCGTAACCCCCTTGAGGATGGATTCCATCCCGTCCCCATCCCCCCCCAAACCCCCTTCTCGTCCCCCCCTTCTCCACGCGGCTTCTGCCGGTGCCGCAGTCGGATCTCCGCGAGTTCTTGGTTCACCGCGGGTCCCGGCGGCGAGGCCTCCGCCTCCGCCTCGGTCGGGGGGGTGGAAAGCAAGACACCAACACAACAGACCGTCCTACAGTCGTACAAGTACTGAAGTTGGGTGGTGAAAGTCTGAAGTACTGCGACTAACTATAAGTAAGTAGAAGAACCACATGGAACTCATTGTGTTGAAGGAAGAGAACGGGCTAAACAGGTGGATGAACACCCCTATATGCGTCATGACTTGCGAGTGTCATGTGTGCACAAGAAGCAGTGCTTGCGCCTTCGTGGAAAGGCTTGCGACCAATCCGAGCTTGCGGGCCCACAGCAGGGTGGTTTCAGAGCCTCTCTTATGGTCTAGTTACATCATGTTAATGTAGACTCTTGATTGATAAACCGCCCGGTAGGAAGAGGTTGCCTTCAATCTAATTGGGGTGGGTTTGTTAATCAAGAGTCTACATTACGTATGGTTTTGGGGGTCCACACATCATCTACTAAGGTCAAAGTTCAACGGTCCGATGATCCTTTGAGTTGTTTTGAGCTTGCTTTCGATTGACCAGCCGGTCCAAAGTCCTAGATATAGACGGCAGTAAAACATCTCAAACAAAAACTGCTACAAGCAATTTGTCCATGGTCGTATTCCATCCATACTCGTTTTCGTAGCAACCCTGACACCCGTTCGCTTACTTTTTGGAACCCTCACTCAAGCTGACCGAGTGTTGGTCCGATTCAGGTGATTTGCGGAGGGCTTGGGGCTTGGGTATTTAAGCCTGGATAATCTCATTTGAGCTCTCATTTCACTGATGAAACATTGAGGACACATACTACAAGTGGCACACAGGGCGTTTCCATCACCTCGCCCAGACCCTTGAACACACCCTCAAAATCATCTGGAACCTACCTCTCACATTCAATAGGCCTGCTGCAACCCAAGCAAAGAACCCTCAAAAAGCCGCTGCCTTGACAGGAGAAGTCTCAGCTGCAGGGGCAGAGGCCTCTGCTTCATCTGCCATGAGCCTCCAACAACGTGAACACGAGTGGTCCATGGTCCAAAAACGCTCCATGGACCATTGGCTTAGGGTTCCATCATGGACCAATTATAATGTGTTTAATCATCAAAATATGAATTGATCCTTTCTAACCGCTTGTAGCAATTGAAAGTTAAATATTTTTTTTTCTATGCTTCTGGCTTCAATAAACAGAGCAATTTATCATTATCTCATGTCGTTCCGGCCGTGTCACCCGGCTGGCCTTGTGCTCTGGCGGGCGTCAATGAATTGCTGGCCCGTATTGGGACGATCAAATCTGCCGTGGAACGGTGTTGGATGGTTCGGATGGACATTGGACTATCGATGTTGTGGTTATAAGGGTGCCTCTTTTTTCCGGCATAAAACATACCTTCCTTGCTTCGGTTGATAGCTCTCTGGATCTGAAGGGTAGCCATTGTTTGCTTTTGGTGTACTATCCGGACTATTCAACCGAAGGTGTATGCCAAGAGGAGAACAGATTAACCGGTTGGAAACAAGTTCAAAGACTTCTACACTGAGGGCATACTTTTTGGGCCTTCCCATCATGAGGTGCGTTGACAGCTCACATGTGGATTTTTAGTTTGTCCATATCTGACAGGATTCACAATGATCCACACCTGGGTGGTGTTTTGCCCAACACATCACAATCACTTGGCTGAAGAGCGAAGAATGCCTTGCTCTTTGGACCTCCCATGCGCGCCAATGTCCGGAATGCATAGATGTAAAAAACAGTGATCTTGAGCCAACCATCAGGTGGCGCCATAGTGACCCGGGTCGCTGGAGGTTCCAGAAGCAGCAAAAATAGACAAAAATAGACTGGATGCTTGGATGATCAATATGTAGTCGTCACTAGGTGTATTATATATATATATATAACTGATAACTATATTGTAATCTTCAAGTATAGAGATGCAGAATATGGAAGATTGTTGAACGTATTGCCATATCGCTATTCTTCCTCGAGTGGTGCATGCAACATCCTTTTGGGATGACTATAGTTGTTAGCAACCGAGGAAGTATCCAGCCCTGTTTGCAAGCTCGGGCACTGGGGCATCTGCATGTACGCATGCTAGCACTCATCTGGAAAGAAGTTGCTACGACGAGTGAGGGTGTCCAAAATGCTTTATGAAACCAAACCATAAATATGTTCGACGCATGGATTTCTGGTGGAATCTTGGTTGTTCTTGTATAAGAGCCTCATGCAGCACCCATCAACATGTGTGTCCGCTCCCCGTTGGTGATGGTGGAACCGATATCAACCATAGAACTGGTCTTTCAACAAACTAGACGACGAGTGGCCCGAAAGCATTTTTCATCACGTAGGAAGTCAGAGTGTGAGTTAAGTGTTCAGTGTGAAGTGTTAAGTCGAGTGAGTTGAGGCAGTGTGTGGGTCTCTGTGTGTGTGTATCAATGTCTGTGTGTGTATGAGTCTCTGTCTGTGACTCCGAGTAAGTTGAGGCAGTGCGTGGGTCTCTGTGTGTGTGTGTCAACCTTTTAAGAGAGCCGGGTGGTCGGGAGACATGACTCAGCTGCAGGGGCGCCAGAGCAGCTTGCGAGAGATGACTCAGCCGCGTACTAAAGTTGCACTGCAAAGTCACCAGTTCTCAGCTTCCAGCTCCCCAGATACTCCGCGTACTAAAGTTGTACTACAAAGTCGCCAGTTCTCATCTTCCAGTTCCCCAGATACTCCGCGTACTAAAGTTGTACGACAAAGTCGCCAGTTCTCATTTTCCAGCTCTCCAGATACTCCGCGTACTAAAGTTGTACTACAAAGTCGCCAGTTCTCAGGTTCCAGCTCCACAGACTGCTCCACGTACTACAGTTGTACTACAAAGTCACCAGTTCTCATCTTCCAGCTCCCCATATGCTCCGCGTACTAAAGTTGTACTACAACTTTGCCAGTTCTCATCTTCCAGCTCCCCAGATACTCCGCGTACTAAAGTT